ATGTCGCTCAAGAATGAAATTGTTAAGATCGCCCCACGTGGGCGGGTCAATTGCATCGCTCCGGGTGAGTACATGATTGTCGCTTCGTATCGTTGACGTTGACTTCTAAATGACTGCAGGTTGGGTCAAAACGCCGATGGCCGAACATGCCCTCAAACAACCAGAGGTCATCTATCGTGCACTGGCGACGTAAGCCGTCTGCTTACCTATAGTCCATACCTGCCACATGACTGAGAGGTTTCCAACAGCACGCCACTCAAGAAAGTTGCTACTCCGGAGGACGTAGCATCCCAAGTCGTCTTCGTAGCCTCGACCGCTGTGTCTGGGCACGTCTCTGGCCAAGTCATCATGGTAGAGGGCGGGATGGAGGGCAGGCTGCTGAACAAACCCGAGGATATCACGCAGTTCTGAGCTGCAAGACGCACTGCCCTGATCAATGATGGGAGCAGAAGCTGAAAGCAGCCGCACTTCACGACTTGTATCGGAGCTCGAGAGTCGGATGGGTATGTACTACTTGTCACCGAACCAACCCACCCAGCCCTGTTCGTGCAATCAATTACAGCAGTCACGAGGCTACGATGCAATGAGGTATATGAAGGCAGCTTAGGCTTGTGGCGGCATGACATCCAGTCATGGTAAACCACTTGAAATAGGAGGTCCGCACAACCCGCCCGTTGGCAATCAGGCACTAGTATCCAACCGCTTCGTCCTCAAGCATGCGAAACCGTATTATATTCAGCATTGTCGATATCGCTGGCTGTCGCAGCCCATCGCATCTGTTGGAACTCCAGCGGGCGGGTGTCCGACAGCAATATCCGGGTACTGACGTCCGAGGCAGGAACAGCCCGATTTTGACGGCGGAGTGACAGCAGTCAAATTCGTCGATCATGATCGACACTGAGCATTGAACGTGAACGCTCCGTCCAGCACTGGCAGTGGCGCGAAAAATACATGCACAGAAAGTGGCTCGGCTGGACATCGCTCTCGATTTGCGGACATCATGCAGTCGCAGAGGTGTGCATAATGTGTACATGAACCAAGTGGTGAAATCCTGGTAGCGCCGATTGCGGCTGAATGGCAACTTCGAAGGAGAAGAAGTTGCGCCTGGACTCCGAGTCGTGAGGAAGAAAAGTCAATATGAAGCACGGCCGTGGTAGGTACTTCGGCACACACAATGGTCAATGGACTATGAGATGAATACGTGTGACTCAGCTCGTCCCATTTGAGGGCTTCGCGGCAGTATAAGTGTCAGCATTATGACTGATCAAACCACCGTGAGTCAGGAACTTGAAGTATCGGAAGCTCCAACGTTTTGACAACTTGGGAACGTACATACTGTTCTTCGGTTGCAAACCTTTGAGCTATGGAGCGGTTCACTTAGACGCCGCTACTTTGTGACACTGTTAAGCGCCTTACGTAAGCTGGCCAACTTGGTTCCGATTTTTTTGAGTCACATACAACGACACAGGATTCAAAACTTAGCATTCTCCATAATGTTTCAGGGAGTTAACCAGCTTTGAGACGGGAAGTATACTGCTAAAAATGCCAGTGCCCCGCACTGGTCAATTATTGGGCAGCTACCGAGATAAGCCCCGATTCGGTAGTGTTACATCGGGTCGGGATCTCGACCGGCCACCCCAGTCGGCCACCCAATGTGTTGCACAACAAAGGCTGGGTCTTTCTAGACCAAAGACGTGGTGCTGTATCAATGAGAGCTATTACAGGTGTTATCAATGGTATACTTACTCACCATCAGCAATGAACGAGAATCTTGCTTCCCAGCTTCGACCGAGTCCCTAACCCAGTCGAGCCACCGGCCCGATATAGTAACTGGTAACAGTAGTCTGGCGTCTAATTACTGGTTATGGGGTTAGTCACGTGATGTGGCCAAATCGTTCAGACCATTTTTGGAAATAATGAATGTACGGAAAATTCCTCTTGGGGCTTTGTTGCCCCTACGTATAGCTATCTTTTCGCTAAAGGGATTAGCATTCAGCCCAAAACTCTGCGTGTAAATGTCGTTGTCACAAAGTAGCGGCGTCTAAGTGAACCGCTCCATATAAAGTCTCAGACACGAAGCCGAGCAAGGCGAACCAATCTAAGCGCTACGATGGTCCGATATCGACTGCAAGGCACGCGGAGCCACCTAGACATCACTGATAAGAAGCCTTGGTAGGCTGCCAAGCGCCCCCGGCGTGGCAGCCTAGCAAGGCTGCAAACCCTTCTAAACGCCATCTGCCAGTTTCTGGGCAGTTTCCCCTCGCCCTTTTCCTCTATAAGGTAACAATCCCTTCTGCCCCTTCGCGCACGCCCAAGTTCCTCCGGCGGCCCACGTGCTGCGTGGCTGAGGGCGCTCCCCGATCAAGGATCTCGTATCCCGATCCCCCGCGTCGCGCCCGATGTTCGGTAAGCCGCTGCCGCCCCCGCTGAGCTCGCCGCCACCGCGTACGCGCCCACAGCGTTGCGCTCGCCGTCGCCGTCGACGACAACGACGGGCTCCGCGAGGGTGTCGAGTCCACACCGACTCGGATGCTGCCGAGTGGTGCGTTCCCGAGCCTCGCGGGCACTCCCACGGCTGTTGATGGGGAGATTCCCACGCATGCTCGCCGCCGCGCCTGGCGCTGTGCTCGCTGTCGATGACGACGAGCTCGAGTATCTCGCTCCCCTCTTTGTTTCTTGCCACAATTTCTTGAGCCATGTATCTAGTAGTGATATTCAAAGTGTATATAGGCTTATAAAGTGTATACAATGTGTTGTTACCTCGGAATAGTATGACTATCTCCCCAGTAATGCCTACCTAGTACCCATCAATAGAGCGGTCAGAAGTGAGCATAATATGCTCTCATAAACTCTAGATAACTGGTATGATTATCCACAAGCAATACATAGTGTTTGATGAAGGATTACTGGCCCCAAAATGCGAAACTTCGCCATAAGGGGGCATGCATAACATTACAACCTCTCCACTGTAGCTCATGAAAGCTCTACCAGTATGTTGCAAGCACATTCATGTACTGTTTTATGTATACTCACAGTATCAGGACTAGTATATGTGCCTCAATGTTATGAGGATGTTCACATGTACAAAAAGCATATCCATTCATTTGGAGCCTCTACATGCATCCAGACATTATGACAACTTCTCAGAATCTACATTGGCATCATATCTGTATGGAATTACACTTACAATAAGTTTCTGAGATGAGATGACAAGGGCATTCATTCAATTAGCTATAGGTGGCTACAGGAAGGAGAAGAACTTATCACGTCATACCCTGTGGTTGGATTGTCTCCAAACTTGGTATACAGTATGTATTGTATATCTCAATGCTATATGTGAGGTCTCTTTGGGATTGGACAAGCAGGAAGTCGTGTAGAGCGAGACGAACATCATCTCGGGCAGTTCGGGGACATGCCCGAAGCGGTGCCCGAGTGAACATCGCTCGAGTGCATTGCACACTTAACGAGTGTACGGGCGCTTTCACGCCACTACGACCACTTCTGCATACAGACCCACCGGCTGTCACCTCATTGACTCAAAACAACTTCGGACAAGTACTAACATTGTTTTACCATTAGTGGGTACTATTTCCGTTTTATCCGACGCCAATCAAGGACGAGGTGCATGATTCCGACTCACTCTTTTTCTCAGCCACTGGGTCAGCCACCAGTGCGAACATCATCGCATCGCATGGTGTGCATACAATCCTGTTATGTTTTTATACCCTAGCATTGTTTGTTAGCACTAATAGATGCCAAAACATTCAAGATCTGTGTATATACATGCATTAGATGCTGTGCAACAGAGCCAGCCATATGTGTGGCATTCCACCTACATTTGACCTCTATCAACCCCAGTTGCTACAGAGACCGTACAACAAGTAGTGAGTAAGCATGCATGCATTCAATGAGTATATTAGTACTGTTTCTTTGAGTACCAGTACATTGGTTGAGATGTTATACATGGCCACTTATGGCGGAGTTTTCACTTACAGGGCAGGATGGCTTGCCTATAGTATTGAGAGACTAGTTATGTATCATAACAGTAGTAACAATGAGTATAAAAGAGCACATTCTTCTCGCTTTTGACCGCTCTATCCATGCATAATGCACAGGCATAACTGGATGTAAATTCATACAATTCCGAGGTAACTACTGATTCTATATACAATAGAGGCCTATATACAGTGTTCAAATTGATACTATATGTATGTAGCACAAAATCGCGACGAGGAACGGACAGGGGAGCGAGATACTCGAGCTCGTCGTCGTCGACAGCGAGCACAGCGCCAGGCGCGGCGGCGAACATGCGTGGGAATCTCCCCATCAACAGCCGTGGGAGTGCCCGCGAGGCTCGGGAACGCACCACTCGGCAGCATCCGAGTCGGTGTGGACTCGACACCCTCGCGGAGCCCGTCGTTGTCGTCGACGGCGACGGCGAGCGCAACGCTGTGGGCGCGTACGCGGTGGCGGCGAGCTCAGCGGGGGCGGCAGCGGCTTACCGAACATCGGGCGCGACGCGGGGGATCGGGATACGAGATCCTTGATCGGGGAGCGCCCTCAGCCACGCAGCACGTGGGCCGCCGGAGGAACTTGGGCGTGCGCGAAGGGGCAGAAGGGATTGTTACCTTATAGAGGAAAAGGGCGAGGGGAAACTGCCCAGAAACTGGCAGATGGCGTTTAGAAGGGTTTGCAGCCTTGCTACAGTCCCGGACAAGCAAAGACGACAATCTTCCCGCGCCACTTTTCCAGCCCGAGCAAACATGCGGAATCGATCGCAAAGTGTATAGAGGACATGCCATAGTATATAGAAAGAGTATTGTACGAGCCGATCCCACAAAAATGTATTTTTTGTGTTTTGACCCCCAAAAATTTGGCGCGACCGAAAAAAAACCGCAGAATTCCCGAGAAAATGCGCAAAGTAATCCTCTCCACGAAAGGAATCCGACGCCGCTATTTGCAAAAAGGTTGCCGCGCAGGTTGCCGCCACAGACGACGATGAACACAGCCGTGCCACCACTCTGTTTCGCAGCATGGCACGCACAGGCCGACCCCCGAAGCGCAAGAAGAATATCAGTGGACTCAGGAATCAATCACAGAAGAGCATCAACACACCGAATGATGCTCTGGCTGGCTGGCAGAGAAGTGAAAGCCCTCGCTCGAACTCGGACTCCGAGTCAGAGGCACTGGATGATGCCTGCTGGCAGCCGCCGACAGATCACGACAGCTTGAAGCTGCTTCCCTCAAGACTGGACCTCGATGCCTCATCAGACAGTGATGCCGAGGAGGAGTCAGACTGGGAGGAGGTTGCAGACGAAGAATTCCTTGAAGAAATGTTGAGACTTGGAGAGAAGGAAGGGGATGATGCTCGGGATGAAGACTGGGTTCCGGAAAGGCAGCGTCGTCGTCGGAAGGTGGCGAAATGCGGCACAGACCTGCCAGTCAGGCCAAAAGGTGTGCTCTGCAATGATCTGTAAATTCCATACTGTCATTGGTACTCATCGAGATGGATAGAATACAAGAAGGGCCCGGATGTCGGGAGCAAGTCAAAGCGCAGCCAACAACGCTACCGACGCCTGCTTTCCGACCAGACATCGCTCCTTGCGCATGGCTTTGAGGCGCGTCCGCGACCACGAGGCATCTGGACAGTATCTGACTCGGACACTTCGAGTCCAGTGGCCGTGCAAGGGTCACGTTCGCACCCAATCGATATCGACGCAAGCCGAAACAGAGACTCACCTGGGCGGGGTCCGGGGTCATCCAATGCAGTGCTCGGCGAGCTTCCACAACCTGATGCTCTCGAATTGCCGCCCCGGGCTGACTCGCCATCAGATGAGCTCGTGTTGAGGTCAGGGCCCGGGTCAGGATTGACCTCAGGCTCAGAGGACACCGGATCCGAGTCTGTGAGTCCTGATCAGGGCAAGGATGACTCGGAGGACTCGGAGCGCAGTCTGGCAGAGGATGACTGGGAGGACGAGTTGATGGATGAGATGACTGGGGGTGTCGAAAGTCGATCTTGGACAGACCTGCGAGAACATGTCAAGAAAGAATTGAAGCGGCATCATCGTCGATACACTGTCTCGCAAATCCATCAACTCACCATCCTCCGGAACTTCGCGACCCTCCTGCTGAAGGGGCTCGACCGCATCCCAGCAAGTATCGAGATCGCCCGACAGTGGCATGAGGGGGATGGAACACACTTCGCACGTCGTGTGCGTGCTCTCGCACGCCATTACGAGGCCTTCGAGATGCTTCCATTGGAGAAGAGGGGTGGAAAGAAGAATGCGAAGTGTCACCTGAACGATGAGTCAGTTCAGAAGGCTTCGCGCGACTGGCTCACTGCGCTGCCTTCCGGTGGAGTGACCCCTCTGAAGTTCCAACGCGCCCTCAATGAAACAATCCTTCCCACACTTGGGATTGCCTTGAAGAAGCCGCTTTGTGAGCGGACGGCGAGGCGATGGCTGATCAAGCTTGGATGGCGGCACACATTGCTCAAGAAGGGTGTCTATATGGATGGCCACGAGCGACCGGACGTTGTTCAGTATCGGCAAGATGTCTTTCTGCCAACACTCACCAGCCTCGAGGCCCGGATGACGCACTATGAAGGGCCAGAGCTCGCACTTGTCAAACCACAGTTAGCTGAAGGCGAGGCCGAGATCATTGCACAGTATCACGACGAGACCTGTCTGAGTGTCAATGAATATAAACGGTCGGCCTGGTAAGTTACAATACATAATGAGGATTAAGGATATAGGCTGATGTGATATCTATCATAGGTTGCGACGTGATGAGACGATCTTGCAAAAGAAAGGCCGCGGACGTCTTGTTCACGTCTCAGACTTTATCAATGCAGCATCAGGTCATCTCGTCCTCACTGATGAGGATGGAAGTATCATCGAAGATGCCCGTAAAATAATCTACCCGGGCTCGAATGGTGATCCATGGTGGGACACAGCGCAGCTCATAGAGCAGGTCAAACGAGCGATCAAGATATTCAAGAAAGCACACCCTAACTGCATCGCACTATTCATCTTCGATCAATCTTCGGCTCACGCATCTCTGCCCCCAGATGCTTTACGTGCCTTCGAAATGAACAAGAGTAATGGAGGCAAACAGCGGAAACAGAGGGATACTGTTATTCCCGACACAAACCCAGCTATTGAGATGCGTGGCAAGCCACAGAAGATGACCCTACCGAATGGCACACCAAAAGGCTTGCAGCAGGTTCTGGAAGAGCGCGGCTTCAATGTGAAGGGTTTGCGTGCGAAATGCTCACCTGTATGCCCTTTCGAAAGCCATGGTTGTTGCATGGCTCGGCTTCTCAGTCAACAAGACGACTTTGTCAATCAGATTTCAATGCTCGAGACGGTGATCACGGATGCTGGGCATAAGTGCCTATTTCTCCCGAAATTTCATTGTGAGCTTAACCCGATTGAAATGGTTCGTTGCTCCATTGTTTCTGTATAGATGCTTTGCTCACTCGCAGACAGTATTGGGGCTGGTGCAAGTACCGTTACCGGCAAGTGGTGAAAAAGGATTTCAACCATGCGAAGACCGTCGCGCTCGAGGTCTTGAACGCATGCCCAACAGATGTTCTCCGTCGCTTCATCAACAAGTCGTGGAGATTCATTGATGCGTACCGACAGGGCCTTACAGGGAAAGCGGCGGCGTGGGCTGTTCGGAAGCAGAGATCGCATCGCAAAGTCTCGCGAACTGCGATGCTGCACATCGAGGCTGTGTTGAACAAGTAGCCACAGTATTGCTAACAATATAATACATGGGTTTTGTTCGCTGAGCGATCATTCGTACCGAAGCGCCCGCCTCAGCTTGCGATGAAAGGGTCGAAATTTTTGGCGCGACCAAAACATCGTGGGAAAATTCTCGGAGGTCGTTTTTTGGGGGTTTTCGGCCCCTCCGAGTTCGATCCTGCACTCAGAATCTTGCCAAAAAGTCGCGTTCAAGTGCTACGCGAATTGTCGCCTTTGCTTGTCCGGGACTGTAGGCTGCCACGCCGGGGGCGCTTGGCAGCCTACCAAGGCGTCTTATCAGTGATGTCTAGGTGCGCGGAGCGCCTATCCCGACTTTTCACCCATATCTGTCTGCACAACCATCTTCTCCCCCCGTCACGTCCCCGCCACACCCCTCACGTCCAAATCCGGCCGTCCACACGCGCCTCCTGTCATCCGCGCCACAACCCTGCCTAATCCGGTCCGTCTCCTGAAATGGCACCGATGGCGACCGCCCGCCACGTCTTCCTTCCTGCGCGTCCTGCGCCGCACCCCGTTCCTCCTCGCCACGTCGTCCGCACCCCGTCCACCAGCAGGCCCGAGCAACCGCATCCCCGTTCTCGTCAGCCACCACACGTCGCGCACGTCTCCCGTCGCCCTCCCCACACCCACATATGCCACTCTCCCTGCCGCTCACGCCGTCTTCGACCGTCCACTCCCTCCCATACCTGGCGTCTCTTCGTTCGCCTTCCCGTCAGTCTCACGTCCTCGCGCCCCGCCCGCCAGCAGCACGATGCGCGACTGCACCCCCGTCTCACACACTCCGCCGTCTCGTCAGATTCGGACCACACACCGCTACCTCGCGCAGGTCTCCCGTCGCCCTCCGCGCGCCGTCCGCGAGCCACGGTGCGCCGCGGCGACGCGTACGCGTACACGTGACTACACGACCGTCCACGGGCGCCTTTTCGCGCCCGCCCTCCCGCCACGCGTGCCCATCCCGCAGTCCCGCGTTCAACACCCCCGTCTCGTCTGTGCACACGCATGCCCTCGCGCGAGAGGCCGCGCTTGGCCGTTTTGAATGATGGCGACGCGCGTAGGGACTGGCAGCGCGCATAGGGACGTGTGGGCACTGGCGGCGCGCGTACGTGCGCGCCCTCTCGCATCGTCATAGCCTGCCACCGACGCCTTGTCGCCCACCTTGTCGCCCGCCACCCGCCACCCCACCCGCGACTCGCCACGCCACGCCACGCCACACCGCCGCTCTCTTCTCTCACTGCAAAATCCTGAAGTCCCTGGATCGAAACCAGGAGTTGCTAGATACTGTAACGGATAGTTTTTCCCATTGCCCTTCCTGCGCACGGACCTTCCAGATGCGGGTAACAAAGTCTCAAGGTGAGCGAGCACAATGTTGTCTCTCCTTTTTTCCAAATCCTCCTGATAAGCTGATATTCCCGGCTAAGGCTGATGCTCATTCAACTTTGCAACGGGCAGAGAGATAATTGAGCAACTGGTACTCATGGCCGTGGCTGAAGCGCCCTCCGTGGACTTGACAACGGATTACTTGCTGTATAATAGCCTATCCTCAATTCATATCCTATCGAGTGCTGAAAACCCCGAAGTCCAATGCTGAACTGTAGAAGTCATCCTCTTTAGAATTTGAGGGGCACAGATGGGAGATGTCGATTTCAAGTTGGCATGCGTGTATACCATTTGGACACCATACAGTATATCACGGGCCTCGAATTTATGCTAACACCATACATTTAGAACGTATCCTCTGAAGAAGGCCGTGAGAGGTATGTACAACATCGACACAGGCCTCGCTGACTTCAAGTACTCGGGGAGGGCGAGTAGGGCCCGGAACGCCGGGCCGCTCCACGTTGGGAAGTAGCTTAAGTAATCTGGACCTACGTGCCACTGCCACCAACTCCGAGTCGCAAGTCCGCCATCTACACGTATACGTATGTCAATTCTCGGGTGCTCCCCATGCATAGTACACAGAGAATCTACGTCCATCCACGTATAAATGCTTGATTTCTCGGCATGACCAAGGTATCGATGGCTTGTTTGATTGCTCGCCATCCAGACTACATTCAGACCTTAAGCACCCATTATCTTGCTGACGTCTGGCCACTACTCGCTACGTTCAAAGAAACCTCGTCCATCTATGGCGGTATCTTGGATTGATAGCAGATGCGGACCCTCGTTGGAGATCACGAGTTGTGAGCATGTCCCCTCCCTATATGCACTCTTTCCTATACTGTCCCATATGCTTTCTCAGGCTCACAGTGATGATAGCCGGATATACCAGCACGGTGTCTTGTCCCAGCGCAGCATATCACACGATCCCTTCGCTGACCGTGGGCGATAGCTCGGTCTGGAGTTGTGATTGGATGCAATATCACCTGCAGGCGCATCGAACGAGTGCGAATCAAGCACACCTGAAGAAGCACCGTCACGGTCTGCTGTCATCGCACCTACATATTTCACCCGACGCATCCTATATGGACACCTTCTTAGCTTCCTGCAAATTCACATGATATCAAGACACTTCCCGTGGACGTCCTCGTTTCTGCTCTAGGTCGAAGAGAAGCCTTATGGGAGAATGCTTCGTGGTTGACGTCTGACGTAAATTACTCGCTTTGAGTCCCCACCAGGTGTCTCGATGGCGTCTCTCTCAAACGACTGCTTTAAAACCCTCAGTTTCACTGCCGTAGATCCACATATCTCACCTGAGGTTAACGGAAACCACCATGTCCGTCTTTTCTCCAGTGGAAGCTGACATTATCATAGCCGGAGGTAAGACCGTGTCCATCATCGTGCTCGCCATGGACCTGACGGCCCTCCTAAATCAGGTGGTACGACTGGTTGTGTTATTGCGGGTCGCCTTGCCGCAGCCGACCCGTCTCTGCGCATCCTCATCCTAGAGGCTGGCCCGCCTACCCTCGAGGATTTGGCGCATGTACAACCAGCTCGCTACCTCAGTCATCTTCTACCGGGGAGCACGACGGTCAAGTTCAACGTGGGCAAGGAAAGCGCCGATCTCGGTGGACGTGCACCCATCGTACCCTGTGGACAGTGCCTCGGAGGAGGGTCCAGTGTCAACTGTGAGTATCCTACAACGTGGCCAATCCGATGTTGACCATTGCCATCTTCGGTGGTAGTCACCATGTACACACGCCCATCCCCGTCTGACTACGATGACTGGGAGACAATGTACGGAAACGAGGGATGGAGCTCCCGCGAGCTTATCCCTCTTCTACAGAAGGTCAGACAACCTCTCAGCAAAGACCTCATGCTTTAAATACGCGGCCTATAGATGGAGACCTACCAAGTAGCGCCAGACAAGCCAACGCACGGATACGATGGTCCGCTGCAGATCTCCTACGGCGGCGTCTTCACCAGCGCGGGCAAACAATTTCTCGAGGTCGCCGCGCAGTATGACAAGAGCAGAGGAACCACGGACGATCCCAGTGACATGATTGGAATCAATGCGTATGGTGTGAGTGTAATCAAATGTACTTTGTGAACTTGGCCCTCACGCACGGTCATATGTAGCGGTGGCAAAAGTACGTCACACATAACGTCTCGTTTAGACGCCATGTCTGATAAATTCCTCGTAGGTATATTGACAAAGAGAAGGGACGCCGCTCCGACGTACCGCACAACTACATCTACAACCGTCAGCTGGACAACCTGGAGATCTTGACTGGCTATCATGTGAAACGAGTAATATTCGAGTGCGCCCTCATAT